TATTAAAGGAAAGTCAAAGCTAAAGAAATCAGATTTCACTTACAAAGAAAATAAAAATTAAACACTGAAAAAATAGAATTAAATTTAAAAAAATTAAACAGAAGATCAAAAAAAAGCAAATAAATGACCTGAAAAGACCAACATAAAAGACTAAGGTTTAGCAAATTTAATCAAGGATAAAAGATTGAGAACATATATTAAGAAGTTTAGAAATAAGTACAGGGACAACATTACAGATATGGAAGAAATTAAATATTATGAGACAATAAATAGCACATGTAATATGTGTCAACAAAATTAAGCATCTTGATGGATTAATTTTGTAAGAAACATACGAATTACCAAATTGGATGCAAGAGGATACAGAAAGCCTGTAGTCTCATAATCACAGAAAGAAATGAAGAGTTTTCATCTACGTCATATCTGATTTCCCTTTCTTCTTAATTAACAGAAGATCTAGTTGGAATGGCAACATATCTGGCTAAAAATAGTTTCCTAGACCCACTTTGCAGCCAGAAATGGTCATGTGACCCAGTCCTTACCAACGAAATACAAAAATAGAAATGAGATGTAAGTAAAAGACTGTTGGGGATTTCTAGGAAGGATTTTGTTTCCCTGTTACAGGCACCCTCCCTTCTTCCCTGTTCCCTTCCTTCATCCAGACTGGACCAAGATCAAAGCTTGGAGGTCATCAGTTATTTGCTCACCATGAGGCAACAAGCAGAGAAGGACCAACTCAATGCCATAAAGAGATGGGGGAATGGAAAGGCAAGGGTGGGCCCTCAGGACATTGCTGAGCTGCTGCACCAGCCTTGGAACGCTTGGTCATGCCCTTCCCTTTGTGAGACTCAAACCTCTATGTGGATAAGACGGTGTTGGTCAACTTCCAGTTATTTGCAGCTGAACAAAAAGACAGAATTTTCCATTCTCAGGTGATGTGAATATCTAGTTAAAAACAAAGAAGACTGGGGCGCCTGGGTGGCTCAGTGGGTTAAGCCGCTGCCTTCGGCTCAGGTCATGATCTCAGAGTCCTGGGATCGAGCCCCGCATCGGGCTCTCTGCTCAGCAGGGAGCCTACTTCCTCCTCTCTCTCTGCCTGCCTCTCTGCCTGCTTGTGATCTCTCTGTCAAATAAGTAAAAATAAAATCTTAAAAAAAAAAAAAAAACAACAAAGAAGACTAAAGCAGTCCATTGAAAGCTGCATATGTTCAACAACACGGCTAAGATGAACCACAGACACCAAAAACTGTCCTACGTACCAGTGAGTCCATTTAGAAAATGTAGTACTAAAGTGTACTTTTTACACAGTGACAACAAAAACTACAACATATCTAAGAATTGATGTAAGAAATCTTCAAAGTTGGAGGCACCCAGGTGGCTCAGCAGTTAAAGCGGCTTCAGTGCAGGTCGTGATCCTCCATCCGACTCACTCTCTCTCTGTCTTAAATAAATACATACAATCTTAAAAAAAAAAAAGAAAAAGAAAAAGAAAAGAAGAAACTTTTTTTTTTAAATTTTATTTTTTATAAACATATATTTTTATCCCCAGGGGTACATCTCTGTGAATCGCCAGGTTTACACACTTCACAGCACTCACCATAGCACATACCCTCCCCAATGTCCATAACCCCACCCCCCCTCCCAACCCCCCTCCCCCCAGCAACCTTCAGTTTGTTTTGTGAGATTAAGATTCACTTATGGTTTGTCTCCCTCCCAATCCCATCTTGTTTCATTTACTCAAGAAGAAACGTTTTTTAAAAAGAGAAATCTTCAAAGCCCATATGAAGAAAACTGTAAAATTTTTATTTCAGGACATAAAAGAAAATGTTAGGAAACAGGTACAAGAGAGCCCTTACTTTGCATAGTTCCAACATGCACAAGTTCCAGTAACCACAATTCAGTTAAATAACACTAGTTTCCCAACATTTGCTACCATGGTATTATAACCGAACAGTTGGGTAAAGTACAAACTTCACCGTTAGCATTACAGTCCACAAATCACTACATAAAAAACAGATGAATATCATGATCAGTGACCAATCATATCACTTCTTTCAAAGTCTGTTAGTGGTTGATCACTGAATACTTGTTATTCTTTTTTTTTTTTTTTTAGATTTTTGTTTTATTTATTTGACAGACAGAGATCACAAGTAGGCAGAGAGGCAGGCAGAGAGAGAGAGAGGAGGAGGAAGCAGGCTCCCTGCTGAGCAGAAAGCCCGATGCGGGGCTCGATCCCAGGACCCTGGGATCATGACCTGAGCCAAAGGCAGAGGCTTTAACCCACTGAGCCACCCAGGCGCCCCTGTATACTTGTTATTCTTATGCACAGACAGCGAAGTGTGTAGTTACACTGATTCCTTATCTCCCAGTGGTAAACCCATGACATTTTATAAAAAATGATCACTGGAAGAAGGAAATTGGCCAATAAAGATAAAACTGCAATACATAAATGAAAAGCGATAATACTGAAAGTCAAATTCAAACTGAACATAAATGGAGTTATAGAAAAAATAGTGGCAACTCACTAAGATATAGAAAAGATTCTAGTTCTGTATTATGAGTTAAATGATGAGAAAAAAGCCAACCACTGTTCAAGCCACTCTTAATAAGTCTCTTAGAAATAAAATACTTTCTCAATGTTTCTAGTGTTTTAAATTACAGTGCACTAAATATTAGTTTTACTGTTTTATTTCCCTATATATCCATAGCCAACAGTGAAAGAGTTTTCAAGGTTTTGACCAAAATTTTTGAAGATCACAAAACAATCATAATTCTCCCCATTGATTATTAGATCACTTTGCATGGTTTTAGTTTGCGTGGCCATTTTTACAGTCCTGCAGTACTACGCAAAGGGAAGAATGCCTATAGCATGTTCCTGGATGGGAAAACTCCATGTTGTAAAGATGTTAATTCTTTCCAAGTCACTCTATAAATTTAATATAAAACCAACCAATATCCCAACAAGATTTTTTTCTGAAAATTAACACATAAAAATTCAACTAAAATAATTAACTAGCAAAGAAAACATTTATTTTTTATTTACAGAGAAAGAGCATGTGCACTCTCAAGTGGTGGGGAGGGGCAGAGGGAAAGAGAGAAATTTAAGCAGGCCCTACACCCAGTGCAGAGCCCAATCTCATGACCCTGAGATCATGACCTGAGCTGAAATCATGAGTCAGCTACTCAACCGACTGAGTCACCCAGGCACTCCACAAAGAAAATATTTCAAAGGAGTAATGATGGGGGTGCCTGAGTGTCTCAGTCAGTTCACCAGCTCTTGATTTCAACTCAGGTCATGATCTTAGAGTCCTGGGATGGAGCCTTGCTTTGGGCTCTGCACTCAGCAGGGAATCTGCTTTGGGATTCTGTCTCTCCCTCTGCCCTTCCCCCTGCTTCTCTAAAATAAATAAATAAATCTTTTTTTAAAAAGATTAATGATAGCAGAATAACTGTTGAAATATATTAACTGTTGATACTATACAATCAAAATAACTGTTGCATTGCTAGAAGAGCTGAAAAAAAGTCTAGCAGTGAGCTCAAAGATATGAGGACATATATATGATAAAAGTATTTCAAACATGTATGAAAAGGATAAACTGACAAATAGTATCGGGACATTATCTGTCAATGGGGTAAAAATAATAAATCTCAAAGGGATTAAACATACACATTCTAAAAATACTAGAAGAAAATATGAGGAAATACTTTTTATAAAATATAAACAAAACTAAATAAGACATAAAATCCAAAAATACTTTTTAAATTACCAAATTCAATATATGAAAATTTTTAAAAACCTGTTTAAAAAAGCACCATTAAAGAATAAAATATTAATGATAGAAAAGAAACACTATTTACTACATGAAAATCAAAAATTATTTGCTACATGAATAATAAAAATTGATATTAAAATAATATTTTTATGTATTAGACTGCAAAAAATATATAAAATAATATCCAATGCTTAGAGTATAAAGCAACTGATATTGTGGTATGTCATTGGAAATATCAACTGGTAAAGCCTTTTGGGGGTTTAGTTTGGCAGTATACATAAACATTTTCAATGCAGAGACACCTGGGTAGCTCAGTTGTTAAGTGTCTGCCTTCAACTCTGGTCATGATCCCGGGGGCCTAGGATAGAGTCCTGCATGGGGCTCCCTGCTCAGCAGAGAGCCTGCTTCTCCCTCTGCCTGCCACTCCCACTGCTTCCCATGCTTGTGCCCTCTCTCCCTGACAAATAAATAAAATCTTAAAAAAAAAAAAAATGGGGGCACCTGTGTGGCTCAATGGGTTAAGCCTCTGCCTTCAGCTCAGGTCATGATCTCAGGGTCCTGGGATCGAGCTCCACATCAGGCTCTCTGCTTAGCAGGGAGCCTGCTTCCCCCCTCTCTCTCTGCCTGCTGCTCTGCCTACTTATCAAATAATAAATAAAATCTTTTAAAAAAATTTAATGCATACACCTTTTGACCCAATTAATTCTATTTGTAGGACTCTAAAAGCAAAGACATATAGACAAGGATGCTGTATTTATAATGGAAAAAAATCTGGAAACACAAATGAGTACCAAATACATAAATAATTTGACAAAATATGGTATATCTATACTATGGAATATTTTAAACCATTAAAGCAAATGAAGGAGATCACACATGTTCATATTTAACAATATATATAGCTAAATAAAAGGCAGTTTACAAAACAGTGTGTCAAGTATGCCTCTAGTCACATAAGCGTATACACATATATAAGTGTATGTTGGTATGCAAGTATGTACATGTACGGCAGAAGTCTGAAGAGATACAAGCCTTATAAAACATAGTTACTTCTGGGATACAGAATGGATATAGGAAAGAGGGGAAGTAGAGTGTGAAGGATGACTTCCACATTTTTTCAATATACTTATTTAAAACATTTTTACATGAGCATTTATTACTTGACATGAACAATCATTACAATAACAAAAAAATAGTAAAATTTTGAGAGGTTAGGACTTTTTTTACATTTTAATAATGTATCTTTTTGTTATTTGGGTTTTTTTGTTCTTGGCTCATGTCATTTAATTTTAAGGAAGGTTTTAACTCAGATATTGGCTATCATTTAACAAGCTCTGTAAGGAGTTTCAAATATTCACAAGGGATTCAGCATCTAAACTGTGATCTCTAATATCATTTCCCTAATATCATTCCCACTCCCCTGAATATATTTTCCCTGAATGAGGTCTCCTTAGAAAAATGACTGGCTCCAGGGCTAAGGCAAGAAATATGCACAATGAACCTGGAACATCTTACCCCATCAGAAAACAAAGCTATCAAAACCTTCTAGGAACGTGTACACGAGGAGCCGTCGTGAATAAAACCTCGCTGGCCACACATGGGACAATTCGTACACCAGTTAGGATAATAACTGCAACAGTCCAAAACAAAATGGGCTTAAATTCAAGAGTTCATGATACTAAAACCAATCAACAAGCCTACTGACTGTCTTTGGAGCATGCTTGGGAACCAATTCTTTGCCTTTCGGTGTCTCAGGATAATCAAATAATTAATGATAGAAGCTTTTCCTTTATAGAAGGATTCCAGCTAACGAATGATAGGATTAGATGATCATTTTACAACCTTATTGAATCAGTGGGTCCAGGAGATGACTGTCAGCGGCTGCTGATATCACAGAAAGAAACAGCCAATCTGTACTTGTTGGTGGAAGTGCCCACAGTTGCCTTCTGATGGCAAGTACTTCCTCCGGTAAGCTGAGGGTTTATAGAAACACAGACGACAGAACAACATGTTAAACAATAACACGAGATGCAGCTAGCGAAATGCACACTCTGGGACACACTCTGGGATAGGTGAGCAGCTTTCTTCAACCAAAACGAAGGAAAAAGAAGATGCAAGTGGTTGTACCCAAAAGTATCAAAAGAAACTCAGAAGAGCTGTTATCATCTAATTTGAATGTATAGTCCTTACTTGGATCCCAATTCAAACAAGCAGCCATAAAATGATAATAGTGGTGATAATGACTTATAAAACAAAAGGAAAAATCCAAAAACTAGTACTTGGATTTGATGAATTAGGGAGTTGTTCAGTTGTCTTAAGGTATGATAATGGTATTGTGTGTGTTTTCAGTCATTGACGTTTGGAGATGCAGACAAAAATATTTGTAAATTAAGTGAAACACATCCAGGAACTTATGTGGGGATATAGAAATTATACCTCAATAAAAACAATAACTAAAAATGAGGGGAAGTGTGTAGGGATGTAGATGAAATAACACTGATCACACATTGATAATTAAGAAGCTGGCTGGTAAGTCAGATTCATTATACTATTCTCTTTACTTTGATTAATGTTTGAAAACTATCATAATAGACAAAAAAGCTCTAGGAGTACAGTTAAACTACATACTGATCTGATGTGCCCCACAGCACTGGGTACGTAGCATGTCTTAAATGAATACTTGTAAGTTCATTAAAAGATTGCCATAAGACTTTTCAGTTATTGAAAGTAACACACGCAGTTGCCAAACATATTTTATTATTCCACTGAAGTTCTTCATTAGAACAAAAATGATCACAAAGTTATTCCAAAGAATAGGTCCAGTTTATATGATTAAAAAATATTTGCAATCATAATCCTTTTTATGAAATGGGGCATTATCATCAAAATGTAGATAGTCATTAAGAATTTATCAAATAGATCATTCTATGTCGAATTCAATGACAGAATATTCTTTAATTTATTTACCCTAAACTAAGATGAGCAGCTAACTCTGAGGTCTTCAGCCCAAGAAGGAGTGGGGGAGGCGTAGCCTGCTTTCTCAGCGGCAGAATGCTTCTGGAAAGGATGCTGAAGAACATGCTGCAGAAGACGGACCTGGCAAACAACAGAAGCACACGGATACAGATTTCTTCCTCAGAACCCTTACCAGTTTTCTAAATTCCCAGAATGACAAGGCTAAACTTATATTTCTTTAAAAATGTTTAATCATTTTATGTTTTATTAGGATTTCAGCTATAGCTGTTACTTAAAATTCCTATCATCCCACAGAAGTTCCTTGAAGTACTAGTTTTGTGCTAAAACAGGACAGCAAAACATACCCTGTCACGAGCACTACATATATATGTCCCAATAACTTTGAAGTTCTTTTACAGCATAAAGAGAATTATAATTTTCTAAAATATTTACAAAAATAGGGGCGCCTGGGTGGCTTAGTGGGGTTAAAGCCTCTGCCTTCCGCTCAGGTCATGATCCCAGGGTTCTGGGATGGAGCGGGCATTGAACTCTCTGCTCAGCAGGGAGCCTGCTTCCCTTCCCCTCTCTCTGCCTGCCTCTCTGCCTACTTGTGATCTCTGTCAAATAAATAAATAAAATCTTTAAAAAATAAATAAATAAAATATTTACAAAAATAAAAGAATGTCAGTGGTTTGCAGCCTTTCCAAATCAAGGGCATGGATTCCAACTCATGCTGCTTCCTCATTTGTAATTTGAGCCTTGGTAATAGACTGAAGCATCAAAGAACACATCTCTTTCAACAATAATTCTAGGATCAAAATGCATATTTTTATCCAGTTATAAAATAAGTAAGTCATGGGAATGTAATATATAGCATGGTGACTAGAGTTAATAATACTGTATAGCATATTTGAAAGTTCCTAGAAAGTAGATCTTAACTCATCAAAGTAAGTCAAGCAGAGAGAGTCAATTATCATATGGTTTCACTTACTTGTGGAGCATAAGGAATAACACGGAGGACATTGGGAGATGGAGAGGAGAAGTAAGTGGGGGTAAATCGGAGGGGGAGACAAACCATGAGAGACTATGGACTCTGAGAAACAAACTGAGGGTTTTGGAGGGGAGGGGTAGGGGATTGGCTGAGCCTGGTGGTGGGTATTAAGGAGGGCACGTATTGCATGGAGCACTGGGTGTGGTGTATCAACAATGAATTTTGGAACACTGGGGGGAAAAAAAAGAACTCATCACAAGAAAAAAAAATTTGTAACCGTCTATAGTGATGTTAACTAGAATTACTGTGGTCATAGTTTCACGATAGATACAAATATTGAATCATCATGTCATACACATGAAAGTAATATAATGTTACATGTCAACTATACCTCAACTAAAATATGCTTTTTGGTGGTTTTGTCATTTCCTTGGGTATTGACAAAGGAATGCTTGGTTCTGACAGAAAAAGGTTCATGATTATCTATACTAAGAAAGTACCAAGAGATCAAATAGAGGGTATTACTGTATTACTAATATTTTAAATAGGAAGACTCATCATAATCAATATGGTACCTCTTAATTTCCCTAGGTGCTTAGAGTCCCTCTTAATTTCCCTAGGTGCTTTCTATACATCTCCTTTTATTGAAGTTACTTTTATACCTATCTAATCTTACTTGCTAACTAAAAATCTCTCTGAATGCATTTTTACATACTTCTTCATAGCACCTCACATAGATTCTCAAGAAATGTTTGATACAGGCAGGTAAATACAAGTTATGTGTGCAAAGGGTTCCCTGTATAAAGATTTAAAAAAATCTTTTTCCTTCCCTGCATGAGAATTAAACCCTTAATTAACTTCCTACATCTGTTCCCCTAGTCACTTGATAAGGCAGTATGACAACCGCATATATCACCATATAGCATTGCTTAGGACGGACAAGCAGCTTCTGCATGGGAGGTCTGTAGATACCTGCCAGAATGCTTCAGGCTTTGTTTAGTGTGGTGACTTGGTACAAGGCAGATCTCTCGTGGGGACACTGGAAACGATGCCTATGGAGCTGTGACAAGAGATACGAGTGTCTATGGAACAGGAAGGTTTTAAGCCAGGGCTACCCCTGCATCTTCCCAGGGTGGGCCTTGTCTCTGCACACCTGAGCCTCGCTGCTGCGCAGAGCTGCTGGCCTGGGTCACCCCAGACCTCCGGCGAATGGGGAGCCTGATGCCGCCCCGCTGGTCAGCCTGTCTATCCTCCGTCTGAGTTGGGTGGGGCCGAGAGCAGCCTGTGTTAGTCTTGTGAATCTGAATGTTCACTTGAACCAATAAAGACCTCTCTCCACCCACCGTGGGCAGTGCACCCTTGCTCAGATATAATTTGGGGGAAGGGAAGAAAACAAGGAACAAAAGATAGGGAAGGAAGGAGAAAGAAGCCAAGGGACAGCTAATGAAACAATGTTTCCTCTTCTCAGCTTAGGCTGACTTAACGATAAACACTGAGCTCTCTCCCTTCTCTCTCTTTAATACCATAGAAAGATTACATTTTAAAATGTTCTGTTTTCTAAAGTAAAAACCTAGATTTGTCAGGCTAATGAAGCTACTAAAATAAAAAGTTAATGCAAGTCCCAAATTAGAAATAACGAAAACAAGGGGCCCCCGGGGTGGCTCAGTCGGTTAAATGTCCAACTCTTGGTTTCCTCTCAGGTCTTGATCTCAGGATCATGAGATCGAGCCCTACATCTGGCTCCGTGCTCAGTGGGGAGTCTTCTTGAGATTCTCTCTCTCTCCCTCTGCCCCTTCCCCCACTCACACATGCTCTCTCGCACTCTCTCTAGAATAAATAAATCTTTAAAAAATAAAAAAGCAAAAATAGTTTCTCTGATTTCTCATCAGTTTCTCTGATGCCAACTCTATCACTTGGTTGTGACCACATACATGCTGTGCTGGGAATGATTCTGAGGTGGGACCAGTGTCAGAAAGAGAGCCATGAGCATCGATAACATCTACTCCAGTGCAGGACAGTGACAGCATGAGTTCCAAGGCCAGTCCTCTTCTAAAACATGTATTATGTGCACTGCATTTTCAATAATTGATTATGAAGTACTTGAAGCATACAAGAAGGTATGCAGAACAATACACGAACCCCCGTGTACCCTCCAGCCAGCTTCAGAAATCAGATACTCCCAATAGCATTAGAGCCCAGAGTGAGTCTCCTTCCCTAACTCAGATTTCTTCCTCACCTCGAAGTAACCACTGTCCGAAGATGATGTTTATCATCTTTATTCATGTTGTTACTTTTATTATATATGCATGCCTCCCTATGTGGCGTATAGTTTTGCATGTTTCACACTGTATTTAAGGGGTGCCTGTCATATGCCTTTGCCACTTGCTTGTCTTGCCGAACATTGTATGTGGGATTCATCCAGGCAGATTCATGTAGATTTCGTTCATCCCATCTTCACTGCTGTCAGGATTAGTGGACCCACGTGGCTCGTGCCATGGACACCTGCTAGAAGCAAAAAGCTAATTCCCTCTGGAGAGATGCACCCTTAAATCAGGCTTCACTGGGGCACCTGGGTGGCTCAGTCGGTTAAGCATCTGCCTTCGGCTCAGGTCATGATCCCAAGGTCTCAGGATCAAGCCCCACATCAGGCTCCCTGCTCAGTGGGGAGCCCGCGTCTCCCTTTGCCCCATATCCCACTCATGCCCTCTCTCTCAAATAAATGAATAAAGTCTTTTAAAAAATCAGGCTTCACTGGATCTCAGAGATTGAAATCCAGAAGTCCAAAACATAACCAATAAACAGCAGAATCAGACCCTCAGAAATTTGAATACAGATACAGGATAAACTGAATCTCTAAAATTTTAAATCCATTAAAAAATAAATTAGAAAATATGAGAAAAGAAGATTCACTGAAAAGCAAAAAAAGGGAGACCAGGCAGCAAGAATTCTGGGAAGTTGGTACTGGCAATGGTCTAGTTTAGCATGTCTACAAACAACATAAGTGTGCGTAAAATACAATACATTTAAATTACTAAAAATAAAGCCAGAAGACTCAAACATCTTACCTCTGAAAAATCATTCCTTTCTGCTTTTCTCACTGCGGACTCTGCCATCCAGTTCTTCAGTACATATCTAGGATTAACAGCTTCAGGGGGAAAAGCACGTTTTGGAACAATAAATTACTAAGTCCACACAGGCCATATGAAATTATCCCCCAAATTAGATAAGCTTTAAGAACGGCGCTGGAAGGTACAAATGGGAAGAAATGATTGGTATCGGTCCATTTTTATTGTTTGTAACAATGTACGCTGCTATGGTATAGAAAACACTTTTTGATTACGAGCAATACTCTGTTTGGTTTTTCTCTTCAGTGTCTCATCATTACTTTGGTTTCTTCACCATGTTCAGTTCCCTAAGCACTTCCTAAAGCATGGAGAAAGTAGTCAAGGCATCTGAATTAGGCCCTTTTGCCTAGGTGGAGGTTGGGGAAGAGAAGGTGCTGCTTTTAACATCTTTAAGCTCAGAATTCAGATCTGGCGTAGTAGGACTGCTTGATGTTAATGCTGACAAGAGCAAACATGAAAGGTTACATGCAGGCAAAACTCTTTATAAATTTATATTTTTGAGAGTAACCATGCATTTTGCCTTTTTAAAGGAATTATAATAATGGCACATTTAGAAAAATTCCAGAAACTATGTCTTTAGTTGAGATGAGCCTTTTTTTTTTTTTTTAAAGATTTTATTTATTTATTTGACAGACAGAGATCACAAGTAGGCAGAGAAGCAGACAGATAGAGAGAGGTGGAAGCAGGCTCCCTGCAGAGCACAGAGCCCGATGTGGGGCTCGATCCCAGGACACTCGGACCATGACCTGAGCCGAAGGCAGAGGCTTTAACCCACTGAGCCACCCAGGCGCCCCTA